TTAATAAAAATGACTAGATTCTTAAATATGTTAAAGAAAATTTTGAACTAAAAAAAACATATTTTTCATATATTTTCAATGTTCTTAACTGTAAAAGTTATATCCTTCATCATTTTCATTGTAGCAATCACGTTTTTTATCATTTATATATGTGGAATGAACACAAGTATTATCACAACTGATTTGTCTATTAGGGTGACAACCTAGATAGAAAAAGACATTAAAGATTATAGATTGACAATATGAAAGTCTCTGGAAAAGCTTAGGAATTTGGAATGCAGAGAATTGAGATATCTGAATTTATCTTGGACAAAAATAAAGAAAATATCTGAAAATGGTTTGTCAGCAATTGAAAATCTAAGAAAATTTGATATTTCAAATTGTAAAATTAAAGATATTCATCAAAATTCATTTCAAAATTTCACAAAATTAACACATTTCTATTTGAATAATACTCAACTTCCTCTTCCTTATTGTTTTTAACTTCAATTTTATTTATGGTAAAAGGTATTTTCTGCTTTTAACAGTTCTTTGTGATCTGGGATTTGTATTATATACTACTTCTATTCTGATTGTTGACTATATCTTTTGGAATATTTACCTTTCTAGTGATTATCAATGGAGAAATAGCATTTTTTTGCCAGACTCTTGGATTTACTATAACATTTTCTTTGCTATTAAAACCAGTGACATTATTATTTTTTGATTTTCACTACTTTAATACTTTACTTAAGAAGTTTTCTATTAAAAAAGATTTTCCAAATTGTATAATTGTTCTATTCATAAATTTTATTTTTTGAAAACAAAGTAAACTTGAGTTTTTGTTTTTCTAACATTCTTCATCTTCTGACTTTGAATAATGTAATTTAGCCTACAAGTAATTTGTTTATTTGGATTATTTTTATATATTGGCCTTTGTGTACTTTCATTAATCTCCCTCTATGGTTAAAAACATCAGCTATAAATAGAAGAATAAACAGAAAATTAAGAAAAATTCAAGAAAGGTTTGCTATTGTTCTCACAAACTTTCCACAACAAAGAAGTGGATGATTATGGGAATAGATTATATAAGACAATTGTGTAATAAGGGTCGAGGTGTATCTTTCCTCAAAGCCACAGTTTTGTTAGTATCTGTCCCCTTTGCAATGATTCTTTGAATTTCCAAAATAGGCATATAAAATGCTTCAATTTCCATTCTATAGAACAAAAATTACTGAAACAACTACAAGGGAAGAAACTGAAATATGTTGAGTAAACATATTATCTACTTTTAGTTTCTTTTATCTTTTTATTAAAAATTATTTCAGCTTTACAATTTGTGAATAATTTTGAAACTTTTCATTTGAAATTTCTTCCTTTAATTATTAAAAATCAAGATTTTACAAAGAGAGATGAAGTTTCTTTTTCTTTCTTAATAATATTTTAAATGAAATAAAAATTTCAGGTGATAACTAGAAAATTCTTTTTACACTTAAGTAATGTTAGCAATGGGAGTGAATCTGCTAAACATAGAGATATGTTGACCATTGGAAGAGTAATAAGAAAAATACTCCAAAAGAGGATAAAACTTTTATAAAACTTCTATCTGTCTTTTGTTTCATTCAGTTTAATTATATTTATTTTAAAATACAAGATTTTACTTATTCACATGAACTCTAACTACTAACATGGTTTTAAACTTATTATTCTTTTGACCCTGGTTTTACCCTAACTCAGCCCTGAACCCTATTTTAAAAGCTTCATTCTTCCTAACCTATACCTAACCCAAAATCTCACCCAAAACTGACTCCAAAATGGTCCCCTTCAATTTGGAAGATTAGAAAACTTTTCAGTAAAGGACTTAAAATGAACTGAGTTAGAATTTAACTTTTTTTGAAATCACCTAACATCCTATAGATTTTATGTTGGTAGGAACACCAGCACTATCCAGGTTAGGGTTAGGGTTAAACTGTGCATTTAGGAACGTTTTCTATTGTATCCTTTTTTGATATATCTCTATATTTCAGCAAAAAAAAAAGAATTATATAAAATAAACTAAAGAACAGAAAACGTCCTCAAAGTGACAGAAAACATCCACAAGCTTAGAGAAAATAGACTCATGAAGATAGAAAGAACAGGGCTGTATTAATTAAAAAATATCTGCACAAAATAATATTTAAATTTTTTAGAATATTTCACAAATTTCACAATAAATGCTCCAAACAACAATTGAAAATCTTCAGCCAGTAAGACAGAAAAATTCTACTTCTTTCTCTATTATCACTCATTAGAGGTAATGTGAAAATTTATTATTTATTGTTTTCAAAAAGAAATCTTAGCAATTTGGGAAAAGTTTAAAGCTGGCAAAATTACAGAGATAGTCAAGTTCTTGAAATGTCTTCTGAAGTGTATTATAAATACCTTTACTTCTGTTTTCTGTAGTATGTTAATGTCAAAATATATTTCATTAAATTTGGAAAATCATTTAGATATCAATTATTATTTTAACTAATTTTTCATTTCTAGAATTAACATTCAAACCTGGCATAAAATAATATAGCATTCATTTGAATTGTCTGCCCAGGGACGTTTTCTGTCGGGCCCCTTTTGGATTGTATGTATATGGAATATGAAAAAAAATTTCAGATAGCTTATCAGTGATTTTACTCAATGTCAATATTGCTTGTTTTGTCTAAAATAGATAGAAAATAAACTCAATTATTACACATTCTATCAATATAAATTCTATTAGAAGATATTTGAATTAGTAGAATGAAGAAAAAAGTTAGGAAAAATATTCTTCTTAACATTTTAAAGTTAAGTTTATTTTTTGTCTTTTTTATATGAAAATATCTGAACAACTACAAAACAAGAACATCATTTTAACTGGAAATTGCATAACTTAAATCCATGTATTATATATGCAATTCTCTTCCATTTCCATTATTTTATTACAAAAGCAGGAAGATTAGATTAATGAATAATTAATTGTGTTCACACAGTTTTTAAATATTTGATAATCAAGCAAAATACAGAATGATGGAATGTTTAAAGAATCGCGTTTAAATATTGATGTGTCATCATTAAAATTTAGTAAAAATTTTCACCAGTGCATAAAAAATGCATGTTATGGATTTAATTCTAAATAACACAAGCTTTTCCATAAACAAAAGAGAGAAATCCAATCAACTTTACCTGGGGTATAGTTTTATTAGATGTACAAATAGTGTCATTGGAATGAAAAAGGGTGCAATATTGTTTAAGCTGTCACTTTATGAGTAATGAAATTTGATCTATTATCAGAGTGGAGAATTTATATTCAGGATCATATGGCACACATAATTTCCTTTCAAAAATCTTACTTGGGGACATTTTCTATTGGCCCTGAAACAAAAAAAAAAGCAAAGAATAAAAAATACAATCTAACTAAGCCTTTTACAATATGCCTTTAAAATGTCAATTGCATAAAATTAAATACAAATCTATTGATGAGAATTTATTACACCAAGGCAACAGTAAATCAATTTTAATATTTATAAGAACTATTTACTTCATTTCCTACTAAAATTAATAGAATTAAATCCATAACATTCATTCTTTATGCACTTTGTGATAGAAAAAACAGCAAAAACTCTGAGTTTTCAATTGCTTTAGATATTTTACTTGTGTTTAAAGAAAAGTCGAGGATTCAAAATTGGAAAAAAAGTAATTTTTTTCTGATGAATCAAAGGTTGAGCTGCATCCCAGGGGGAGGGAGTTTGTTAGGAGGCCACCAGGAAAACGAAATGACCCTAACTATACAACAAAAACAGTAAAATTTAAGGGAAGGGAATATCATGGTGTTTGTTAAATTTTATAAAGATATATTATCAGAGAATCTGTAATACTACAATATTATTTGATTACTTACATATGTATTAGCAATATTTATATCTGTATTATAAAAGTTATCAAATGTTTAGAAACTCTGTCCACACAATTGATGATTCATTAATCTAGTGTTCCTGCATTTTTAACAAAATAAGTAAAATGAATGGAAAAGAATTGCATATATAAAATCTGGATTTAAGTTATGTAGATTCCAGGAAAATTATTTTCTTGCTTTGTCGTTGTTCAGATATTTTCATATAAAAAAGACAAGTAATTTAAAATGTTAAGAAGAATATTTTTCCTAACTTTTTTCTTCATTCTACTAATTCAAATATCTTCTAATAGAATTTATATTGATAGAATGTGTAATAATTGAGTTTTTTTATCTATCTAAAGTTTTGTAAATTTGATCTCATTTTTTTTCAGTTTGCAATACATTTATTGGTCAGAAGAATGTAAAACTGGTTAATACGGAAGATACTTCAGTAACGCAAAATTTGGAATGGACAGATTGTATTCAATCTTTCCTTGATAGTAATGCTCACGCAAGTGTTGAATATAATGAAATATCGAAAGAGTGTCGCAAAAAGAGATTTGGTTCTTATGGATCTAACTTAACAGCTGCAGAAGGAACTTTATATTATACTAAAATTGTCAATAATGGTAAAATTATAAGTGAAATATTTGTGAAAATCTAAATATAATCTTTTAAAAAGGTTCCCAGACTTGGCAACATTTAGCTGGAAAATTAATACACAATTGTCTGCCTTGCGCCACACTACATAATTTTGATTCCACTGATATAGTAACGTGTAAAGAAGAATGTTTAAAACATAAAGATTGCCTTTCAATAAAGAAAACCTCATCTACAAGTTGTGCTTTTTTCTCTTTAGTTGCAATCCCTGGTGGTTTATTGGATTACCCCGGTTTTTCTTATTATCAGAAACAAAATCCCCTAAGTAAATCAGAAATACTTTTCTAATAAAATACAATTTATTAAATTGTGTTTATTTTCTAGCATTATTCAATATTTCTACAGAGAATATCTGCCTCGAATCACAAACACAGTTTATTAAATCAATTGGTGATGGAATTATTGAATGTCCATTAAAAACAATCTCTATCCCAGCAAATTTTCAAATAAAATATACATCTGACAAAATGATTAATGGAAACATACAAATTTCTATCTATATAATGGAAAATGATGAGGATAAGTGCTCAAATATCATTGTTTTAAACGATCCAAATATTCAAATTCAAATGTGTAATATGGAAATGAATGAAAAGAATTTCTGTAAATTTGTGTGTGCAGGAGATGATTATAATGAAATTATTATTCAAAGTTTATCAGCTAAAAATATTTTCTGTGAAATTCAAATTTTGTCTGAAGATAGAATGATTAATGTCTGTATGTAAAAGAATCTTTCTTGAAATACATTTTGAATGAATTAATTTTCCAAGTTTAAGAATTACAGTAAATTAACTTGATAGTCAAGGAAGTTGTCAACATTTGATGAATACTTCAGAATCTTTACTGAATATGCTATATATTAATTAACAGTCTAATTAAGACAAGCATAAAACTAGTTGGTTGACAGAAAACATCCACAAATAAGAAATTTCAAGACTAGATTTTGCATTGAGAAATTGTTTAGGGGGAAAAAGACAGTAACTGATTTGTACTTAGGAGGATCTCCTCTAAGGGTTAGGGGAATGGAACAAGTTAGGTATAGCCAAGGGTTGGGTTAGGGTTAGGGTAAAAACACTGATTTGTGGACATTTTCTGTTGTATCCCTAAACTTGATATCTCTTAAATGTTTTCTGACATTATTCATAGAGAGACGCTGCTAGTGAACAGAATGACAAATTAATCAAAACTACTGTACTGCTCTTGCTTGGCAAATTTATGCGTTTGCAAGTTACAACAATACTGGTTCCACTCGAACCTTTAAACAAATGTTTAAAATAAAACGGTTTATTCGCAATAATAATACTTAAGCAAGTAACAATATGAGAGTTCAATAGTAGAGTAGATAGTGAGTAATAGCAGGTTGCCAAATTACCAAACTGTCTTTCAATGTTGAGAAGTAGATGGATGGTTCCAGTGGAGGTTGTTTCCAGGTTATCTTTCCAGGTCCTTGGGTCCAGACACGAATGCTTAGAATGAAAATAGTGAGTGAGGATTTATATACTTTAAGGTTTACCTCTGATATCCCACTAATCACTTTACAGTTGGCAAACTGTGTAGTTCATATTT